ATATATAAAAAAGCTCTAGAAAAAATATTTCTTCCATCAATTTGGTCTTTTGATTTGGATCCACTGAATTTTTACCATCTACAATTTCCTAGACAAGAATGTTTTACAGCTTAAGTATGCATTGTATGAAGAAATACCATATTCTGTTTGTTTTATAACTGCCTCTTAATTATTTTGCCTCTTATTTATTTTGAGAATTTAATTTTATGTTTGGTTCAATGGAGTGAAGTCAAATTCTTGAGTTTAGATCTTGCTGACTAAAATTTCAAATAGGTTGCATCATTGCCAGTAAAAAGAGATGGTATGAGTAGGCCTAGGTTAAATGATCCTCGGTTCATGCATTTTTTTTCTTGGGAGAGGATATGTTTTACACACACAAAAATAACTAATTTTTTGTTAAGTTTGGATGAAATCTGGATTTTTTAAGTTTCACATTTTTTCAATATATTCTTGTTTGGGTTTTGGGATGGGGTTTAGGAATTATAGGGTGTCTGGTTTGAATGATTTAATAAAAAGTGCTTTGAAAACCTTCAGTGCTACCCAGTCTCTAGGCCAGTCATTACTTCAAAAACTGGGCTTTTATCTGTATTGCTTAAATCTCAGCTAGGGTTACCTTTGACCCTGGTGTTCCTGGGATAATGAAAAGGTCCCACCTGCTGCGCCATGTCTTCTGCCACAGCACAAGAGATGGACAGAGAAGGCAAAGAAAAGTTGCTTCTTTTGCCTGTTAATGAAATCCTTCTCTCTTATTGACCCACATAGCTTCTGCAGCCAGTAAAAATCCAAGAGTTAATAAACTCTTCTGCAATGGAAGCAAGCCAGAGAGAGGCTTGCTCAAATTAGCACGCGCTGTTATGCAGCCTGAGGTCATCTGCAAACACCAAGCTGGGAGAAAATGGATCAGGAGAACTGATACATTTATTAATAGGCTATGAAGTGGTAACAAGGAGGCTGAAGTATAAAGAAATGAATAAATATTGCATGTGGTATTTACAAAGCAGCACTTCAGTGAAGCTTGGTGATGTTACGCTATACTATTAGAGCTATGATAGCTGCTGGAGGCTCAGACAGTCACATCATGCTCAGGACTAAAAGAGCCAGTCCCCAAGAACATATGTTCCCATTTAATGACATGGATCTAGGGACTGGCTTAGTGAAAATTAAGCTCCCCTTTTTGCTGCCAGACTCTGCAAATTCCAATTATGTAGAAATCTCATCAATACCTTCCAGTCATATACTTGAAAGCCACAGAGGCATTAAACTGCAATTAATTGCACATCAAAGTTTGTATTACAAGTGCTAAAAATGTATGGTATGGGGAGGAAGTCCAAGTAGCATTGACCAGTTATCGGATGATAGTAAAATTGCGTCCTTAGGTAAAGTTGACCCTTTGGGAAGGCCACACAGTATGGCCCATTGCTCCTTATATAGGGAATCACATTCTTAGTTGCACATGTAGAGTGAATTGTGCAAGCAATGAGATGACCTGCCTATTGAGATGGGATGTACAGAGGCTGCAGGAGGGGACATCTCTCCGTGCCTGAGGTAAAGAAGTTTTGTATAGCAGCAAAAATTCCTGCATGGAAGAACTGCATAGGAAGACATCAAAGTGAGCCTTCAAGGAGTAATCAAATAGATAAAAGAATACAAAAAAAATTCATTTAAAGTCATTTTCAAAATCCTGCAGCAAAAGTCATGCACAGGGATGTAAAAAATGGTATGGAGAGAATTGGCATACAGTTCTGAAAGCCCTTCCCTCAAACGACAGGATGTTGAAATGCAGTAAGGCTCTGACTTTGCACATTACTGAGCTGGAGCAAGGTACAGCTAAAAGAGAGGACTCCATCAAAACCACCTTGATTTCATACACAGATGTATATCCATTACTCCCACAGACACTAGCACAATAGCTAGGAGGGTGCGACTAAGAGCTCAGCAATATGATTGACAAGTGGGAGACAAGTGTAGGCCAGCTCTCTAGGTGCTGGGCTACCTGTGATGAATCACGACGTGCTAATCGTGCCGTGATGAATCACGACGTGCTAATTGTGCCTTGATGCTTTTGGCCGGTCACTTAAGTTGTTCAGCTGAATTTACCTTGTTCTGAGGTGATGTTAGTTATACATCACCAGCCTACCTCAAAGGCAGGGGGTTTGAGCATTAACTTGGACAGTGTGAAAAATATTCTTTGCATACAGTGCATTTCATTATACACCCACTACTTAAAGGCTTTGTAGCTTGTTTTTGAACCTGTTATTTCATAGGTGCTAGTCATACATACAGCAAAGCCACAAAGAAAATCTCCCACTCCCAAATGTAGACGGTGATGACTTTCACTGCTTTAAAAGAAATGAAAATAACAAAACTGTGCATATCGGTTCTGGATAAAATACGCAAAGAAGGTTTGGCTAGAAACCGCACCAGTCACAGGCAACAGGCAGCCCCAAAACTCATATTCTGTGAGGCACAGCAAGAAAAGTCATTGGTATAAGGCTGTATGTGTCACTTTTCCACAGAGATAATGCCCTGTCTTTCTCATCTTTTTTTTTTTTTTCCCCCCAGTGTCTGGAATCTGGTACTCAGTAGCAAAACTCTCAGTGACTGCAGTAAAGTAAGCCCCAATTTGCATTGTCATTGTAAGGGATTTCTTAGAAATGTTTCCTGGGGTTTTAATCTGCCAAAAATGAACTGTCATGAATGAAATTTGGGGGTTTGGCCCAACAGTGAAAGGGAAGACTCAGCTGGACCACAAATTGTCATGCAGTGGCATGCAGATGTGCTCACGGAGAAGCCCCAGCTCCTCTTCCCCCTCAGTCTTTAGCTGGGAGTAAAGCTGAGCAGGAGTGGGTGTCCCAGCCGCAAGACCAGTGCAGAGAAAGACGATAAATGCTCTTATGGGCAGTTTTTGGTACGAGGTGTTCGCTGTGTTTCCCTGGTGCTCTACCCACAGGACTTAGAGCCCCGCATTTGCATCCGTATTTCACGATACTTTGGCCATGCTTGTGCTAATGTATCTGTTTCCAGATACAGGGAGGGGATAAGTATCGTCTCTTTAGAGCTCTCTCATGCTGCCCCTGAGATAGCCGGAGGACTGGTGAAAACTAAAGCTTTCTTCCCGCCGATGAGAGCCTGTCGCTCCCCCTGAGTAGCCGCAGCTGCTGCCACCGCTGAGAAGAGGGACTAGGTGTCAGTGTTGAACTCGGATCCTTTGTAGACGTTAGGATTGCTGTGAAAATACCGGGCAGCCTGAGAAAATTAATTTTGGTCTGACTGAGTTGCGAAATGCGTGAGACCAGGGAGGAGTGCCCTCCTCCCGCCCCAGCTGTGCCTGCAGGGGACATCCCGCCTGGAGCTGCTCTTTCCCGCCTGGAGCTGCTCTTCCCCGTCCCCCTGCTAGAGGTGTCCCCTCCGCCGGGTAGGGAGGAAGAGGAGAGGAGGCTGCTAAAGGCACCCGGGGCCTTCCCGCCTGAAGGAGGCGCTGGCAGACCGCTGTGGGGAGGGGAACGGCCGCGACAGGGGAGGGGAGGCTCCGCCACGGCAGGCAGCTCCCGCGGCCGCCTCCGCTGGCGAATCCGGGCCCACAGGAGGACGCCTGGGGAGGCTCTGAGCCTGGGGGGATACCGGCCTTCAGCCGCCTCGCTTTAATCCCATGTTCTTGTTCTCCTCTCTGATTGTTTAAATGTGCTCGTTTATCATGTGAGGAGATGGGGTACCAAATATCAGAGCTGTTCGAAAACTAGTGGCATCACCTGACCCAACGTCACGACAAGTCAACCGTGTAGTAACGGCGAGTTAGCTAGAGCAGTCTGTGCTCTTGCACCCCTTTGCTTCAAAAACTGGAAATGCCAATGGAAGCAGCCTTTCAGGGGCTGTTCCTTTACATCGAGCATTGACAGTAGCAATAAAAAGGTCTCTGCTACCGTATCCCAGGTCGGACCTGAAGAACCAATGTATTAGTGAAATAGCATGCAGGGCTTGTTTTGGCCTAAAGTTAGACAAAAGACAGACAGATTAGAAGGATAGGTACGTATTCCTTTTCTTTCTGATGTCGCTCCTCGGCTTCTTTCATCATTTCCTGAGACTGCTCCAGCTTGGCATCCACCAGTTTCTGTTGAAGTTCTCTGTGCTTAAATATTTTATCAAGGTGCTGTAAGAAAACAAATTGTGCTGAATGCGCAGGTTTAGTTGTGTACACAGACCTTCATGCTCATGCATGTACAGCTATCTACTGGAACACTCATAAGACAAAAACATTGCAAAACAGGAAGCCTCCCAACCTATTGCAATTACTAAAAAACTACAGTGCTGATAAGAACAAACTATGCCAGAATTTGCATGGGAAGGGAAACTCATTTACATTATCTATTTTGATTTATTATAGCAAAAAAAAATTTTTAAAAAGTGCCTTAGCATCTTTGCCAGTTCTGTGGTCTACATATGAAGTCATCAGTATAATCCAATATGATCGAAGATCAAATAATTGCTCGTCAATAATAACTATGCAGGGGACACACTTTTTTAGAGCTGTTAAGTGGCCAGTGGGTCTAAGCCACTGTGTGGATAAATGTGTAAAGACACATTGCACCTGCAGTACCTGGGAGCATGTGCACAGCTCATGCCATCCTCTATGTAAATGCGAGCCCTGTACATCCCCTTTGTTCTGGCCTCACATGTGTAATGTGGGCTTGGGGGGCCTGGGGGAAAGTACATGAGTGGGGATCAGACCATGAACCAGAGGCCTCCTCTGGCCTGTAAAACATCCGGCTCCATGGTGACCTTCAGGAGGTAAGTGGTGCTGATAGCCCTCTTCACTCTTGCTTCATTTAGATAAAATTCACAGGAGCAAATATTCTGAGCGCATCCCTCTGCTTTACATTTTCTTCTCATAGAAACCACAAGACAGGAACATACATTTCATTCATTCAGCATAAGACTCCATACGTGATGCAACAGATTTGGAAATGCATGTATTGAATCGGGCATTCCAGATTGTAAGGACAGACTACTTATGTTTTATTCAGTATGCTAATGTTGTCTGGTTGCACTGAGGCTCACAATAAATATATTTAGAAACAATAAAAAGACCCATTATGATATTTGTTAGTGTTTGTCATAAAATTAAAAAAAAAGGTAGTTTGGCATTTTACTGTAGAGGTTTTTTTGTGTCAAAATTTTCTGACCAGCTCTAATGTTTACAGAAAGAATAATTTCCCATCTGTCTATTATCTGCTAGGTCTTATGGTGAGGATTGTGCCTGCAAAGAAGAATCTGTTCCAATGCAAAGGGCCTCCTTTATCTGTCATCTTAATTTTCTGCTCCTGGGGAAAGGTCAAAGCATTTACATCAGAGCCCTTCTCAGCAACCTGTGTCTGGAAGGAACAAAAGTGTATTTGGCGTCACCAGCAGAGCAGGCTGTCCAAAAAGATGGGAGCTGGGAGGTGCTCGGTGGGGACTTGGGGGGGGAAGCAGGAAAGGGGTGCTGGGGGGCTCCCCAGGGATTTGGGGGAGCTGTGAGGGGGCCGGGGGGCAGCTTAGCAGGCAGCTGGCACACGTTGTTGCTTGGGCGTCTCAGCCCCTCTCCCCACAGCGACAAGGCTGCCGTGGGTGCTGCAGGCAGGGTGCTGGCCCGCGCAACTCCTTGCCTGCAGAGTTTGCCATGTGGAGTCGGGCGGGCTTGCTGCACGCATAGTCCCGCTCAGACGGCAAAGCGTGGTGGGGCTACCCTCGTTACCTCCACGAGACACCCGGACGATAGCCAGCGGGGAGGACAGGCTGGCAATGCTTTCTGCTTTCCCCTGGGGAAGCCGGGTTTGCTGCCCGTCCCCACGGGCAGCCAGGGCGTTGCTCTCACCTCTTCCCGCAGCTCGTACTGGTCAATGATGCTTTTCAGCTTCTCTGCCAGCTCACTGTTCTCCTGGCAGAGCTTCATGTTCCTCTCGCTTTGCTGCTCGATCTGAGCCTGTATTTCACTCAGCGTGCCCTGGAAATGATTAGTTATTTCTTTCCTCTTCTCATCTTCCTCCCGTGCCCGCTGAATTGTTTCCTCCTGTTGTTAAATGGGAGAGAATGCAGTCATGTAAGTAAGATGCATAATAAGCAGTTCCAGAAAGATACTGTTTCAGAGTAGCATAAGGCTTCCCTTTGAAGGATTATATGTGTTTGCATTCCTCTTCGGAGACTTTCTTTCTTTCATCTGCTCCAGCATTAGGCATGATTCTAAATTTACAGAGCAAATTACACAGTGGCCTTGAAAAAATTAGGGAACTAAGAATTTGCATTTATAAAGATGGATGTAGAGCAGAGTTTCAGATCAAAGCAAGTCTGGAAAAGGGGACATACGTGCATGTCTTGATTCGTGATACTGCAGCACAGCTTTTGCTTTGGAAGAAGATATTTAGCGGAAGTAGTCAAAAGCTCTTTTATCGAAATTCTTTTTGATTGATTAAAAAATCACCCTTTAAAATGCCTAGGAATCCTCATACCAAATTTGTGGTCTTTGGGATTTTCATTTTTAAGAGAAATCCATCATTTTCTGTAAAATCCCTCCCAATTCCTCAATTTTCCTTCCCTAACTTTTTAACTGACACCAACATTTGCACTAATTTATTAGGTGGTGGAATCAAGGAAAACTTGAGGGCTGTTTCTTACAGAATCAGAATTTTCTTACAGAATTCAGGGAATCAGAATTTTGCCCAGAGAAAGATTGATGGATTTTTTTTTTTTTACCAATTATTGAAATTCTGTTTTGGATTTGTTTATGTAAAAGACAATGCAGAAAGAATCTGGATTCATTGCTTTGGATCCAGAAATATGGAATATTTTTATTCCCTACTCATTTGTTTCCAGGGCAGTCTGCCCTTCTGGGGAATGTAACCCTGACGTACAGTGGCTAGGACCATATCTGCTGTAGTTACAAATCGTGCCAGAACCACATTAAGAACCCACTCCACAGCATGCAAATGGCATACTCTAATAAGGTTTCAATTAGCATAGTCATTTACATAAAAATCTCTGATAACACTGCATATGGATATTTTCTATAAATATACTTGAATAAAGCCTTAGCTGACTCTAATGAGGTATAATTTATATCATAAATGTGACATAAAAGGTGTTGATTCAGGCCCTGCTCTTAAAGTAAGATGAATACCAAATGACCCATTTTCTACTTAGCATGCACAACACAAGCTCGATCTTGGACAACTGCTGTTCAAGGTAGGGGACGTTTGTCCTTTTGCTGACCGGGGAGTGACAGAGATAACAACGCCTTGGATGACGGGAGGAAAGTATTGGGGCCATTAGTGCTAATAATACCAAAGTGCACAGAAATCACCGTGAAGCCCTGCTGTGCTCTGCAGTTTACACAAGAACACGCGTGTGTTCTCACAAACAGAGTAAAACAAAATGTGAGCCCAGAAGGACTCTCACTCTTAAGAGGGAGAAAGAATTACAGATGGAGATGGGCAAATGACTTGGGGGGGTCCTCGTTCAGTACCTGGGCTGGAAATTGGACACATGAAAAATTTGCAGCAAGAAGCTCTCTAATTATTTTTTTTTAATTGGTGAGAATGATTTTGAGTTAGCCTGAAACATTTTGCTTGACCAGAAATTGAGCTGTGTTCTGTTTGTAGTTACTTTTTGTTTAACTCTTTTTAGGATGATTTTGAAACAGAAATGCTGTTCCAAAGTAGAGTTTAAAATGCTACTCAGAAGGTGTTTTAAATCAACTGCTTTAGCGTTCCCAAAATGAAACATTTCATTTTCTTTTGAAAGGGCATGTTTACAAACAATGTCATCCTTTTTATTTTTATTTGAAACTTTGCCAAATTTAAATTGAATGCCTAGATGGTTTTGGTCAAGTCAAAACTCCATTTTACCTCCAATACACTGTTTCAAAAGCTGCTCATGCCTCTTTGTTCTCTGTTGTATAGGTGCAGCCCTGAGCAGGGAGAAGAGTGACCAGGTGCTTTCACTTCAAGAGGTCAAAGACAGAGTGAGAAATTGAACTTGCATGTCTGGAGTCCTATTTCTATGGCTTCAGAACATCCTTCCTCAAAAATACTTTATTGTTTCGGTGAACCAAATGGTGATTTAAAGCCCTCTGGAGTAATAAATCCAGCTGAATATAAAACAAAAAATCGGTGCATTTTGTGTAAGTCACACTGCGCAGTTCTGTTACAAGGTGAAATGAGACATCCTGAGAGTAGCAATCATGCAAATGTAAAAAAAAAAAGTGCATGTGTTACTCAGTGGATCTTATTTCCTGCTCATCCTCTCTTCTGAGGTAGAATAATTATACAGAGCACAGAGACTATGCTAAGATTCATGGTTAAAGACACTGAGCCAGCATTTAGTTGCAGGGCACTATTTCTCTTGACCTCTTCTACTTCTGAGAAAAAGATATTTGAGGAGGATATTTGCCAGGGGGGCTAGGGTGTGTCCCAGAGAGCTCCTCAGAGTCCCTCAGAAAACGGCAGTGATTTGTTAAATCCTCGATGTCCCAGTTACAGATTAAGGGTGGGTGTGGGTGAGAGGAGCTGGCTGAGCAGAAAGGCGAGTGTGTGGCTACGGCACCGTGCAGAGACCTGCAGGCGTTGCCTCTTCCCTGCACCCAGGGAACAAACCCCTCTGTGCCTCAGTGCTCCACCGTGCCATGGAGCTGGCCCCCATGCTGCCAGTGCCCAGCTGATGGTAGGCTGGTGCCTGGTCCCTAAGGTAATACGGTTTCAATCTCTAGGTGCTACTGATAATACCATGGGAATAATGATGGGTCTTTGGAGGTGTCTGCATTACACCCGAGCCTTTACTAGCTGTGAAAGCCTACGGCTGAGGCTGCACCTGCGCTGGAGCCAGGGAGGGGGCTGGATGCTCATGGTGCCACCAGCAGAGCCCTGCTTCCCTGCCAGCTCTGCTCCGGGGCTGAGGGCTTGGCTCCCCTTCACCCACCTCGCCTGGGCAGGCACAATCTGGCAAACCCCAAACCATCAGCATCACCCAGGTTTTATTATCACAAAGCTACAGCCCCAACCCTTTGCTTATATTTGTCCCCGTAACCTGAGAGAATGCACTTTTTTCCAATAGGTTCCTTAGTCCTTCCCATTTCAAGACCCCATAGTGTAAAGTAAGATCCTTAAGTTTTCTCCCAAATTGGAGGCTTGAAGGCTGTCTTCTGCTTTGTGTTACTGCTGTTACAGCTGAAGTAGCTGTGCGGAGTCCAGAGCTCCTGGCTTGCTTGGTTGTAGGGAGCAGAGCAGAGGGTGATTGGGGTGATGACTTCTCAGCATCATCATCAAGGGCATGTAGTGATAGGACAAGGGGTAATGGCTTTAAACCGAAAGAGGGCAGATTTAGATTAGATATAAGGAAGAAATTTTTCACTATGGGGGTGGTGAGGCACTGGAACAGGTTGCCCAGAGAAGCTGTGGATGCCCCGTCCCTGGAAGTGTTCAAGGCCAGATTGGATGGGGCTCTGAACAACTTGGTCTGGTGGTAGGTGTTGCTGACCACGGCAGGGGGGTTGGAACTAGATGATCTTTAAGGTCCCTTCCAACCCAAACCATTCTATGATTCTATGATTTTATGATTCTATGATCACGGTGAATTCATAACATGCAAACCACACTTGCCCTTGTCAGCTGCTTCACTCTGTGCTTATTCTTTGAATAGTTTTAAATTAAGTGTTTAGTTATAGTGAGAAAAATAAAGCATTGTAAATTATTTTTAGATTTCCAGTTGTGGAAAACTAAAGTCCAGTCATAACTATTGTTCCCTTTCCTCTGCCCTTTCTTAATCTTTGTGCTCCATATCTACCCTATCGAAGATAAATTCTTGTGTCCTACTGCAATACTGCTATCACTCTTGTGTTTTACTGCTAAAAATATAAGACTGCATTGAATAAAACCTTGTAAAATTAAGACAAGGATATTTTGCAGTTTGGGATTTATCACTGCAATGGGAGATAATTTGCAAATAGAAGGGCAGGATTGTCTCTAGTCCTCCTCTCTCTCTGGGGCAAGTCAAGAAGACTTTTGGTCTGCTGAAGTCATATCAGCTGAGACAATATGAGCATGGACTCCTCATTTTCAATGACCCGTTCTCCTCATTCCCAGGCAGCACGGTCTGAGCCTCAAGGCCTGCAGTCTGGAGCTGAGCCCACAATCGAAGCTGTTGATTGTTGTGACATTTGTATGAAAGTCATTGCTTAATGCACGGTAGCAGGAAGGACAAGGGACCTGAGATGTTCATGTCACTACAAGACGCTAAGTAGCCACCAAACTGTCAGATAACTGGCAGAACATGAACATAATGCAGAGAAGTGAGTCGCTGTTGGTCTTAGCAGAGCTACTCTCTATTGCAGTGGGAACACACTCTGCTATTTCACGGACATTTATTCTGCTTTTCTTGGAAGGAGAATTAAACATCTGTTTTCTGCTGTGAAGTGTAACTGCAAGGAAATAATCTGAATAGCTGGACTGTAAGTAAGTAAAATTTTGAGGCCATATCCAATACTAATCAGAAATTTTTCTTCTCTGCTCTGCATTGTGGATTTTCAGCGCAGCGCCGCATTGCATATTCATCACCACTTGGCTGCACCGATCTCCACTTAATGGGAATTCCACACACCAGATGAGTGAAGATGACATTTACATGACGTGATGTGCATATAATGTACCACATGGCAAGTCAGAGGAGGTTCATGATCTGGACTGGCCAGGTTTCTCCTTTGCTATTGAAATGACACAATCTCCTACAGTTTTTATTTTCCATTCTTTGGAACATAATCAGAAGTGCTAATCCAAAGTGCTAAAAAATTATGAATCAGCTTCTCTGTCCTGCCAAAACCAAAATAAAAATTACTTAAGCAGGAGATTTTAAAAATAACATTTGATGGATTCTCCTGTTTTGGGCCCTGTTTTGGTACAGTCAAAGCAAAAGAAAATTGCACTCATTTAAATAAACAGAAGATGAGATTCTGGAGATTCACAGATGTCCAGGAAGTAAAGCTTAAAGGCAAATATTCCAAGAATTGTGTTAAAATTCTTAGAGGGACAAAACTGGATAAGGATGTTGACTACCTTTGTTTATTAATTTAATCCTCATTCATTCTGCAGTATATTTTGTCTTACTTAACTTTTGTCTTATTTAACTTTGTTGTTTTTACACTGAAAGCACAAGAACCAGAGGAAAGCTAGTACTCTGGGTTTCTTAAAAGGTCTCTGAATTCTTAGAAAGACATGGCCAAAATTTGAACACTTCGTCCTACTACAAGATCAGCTCAGGTACCTTTCCTGGCTCACCTGGCATAGGTACAGGACAAAAATCTGAACTGAGTCTGAAATTGATAGGTTTATTTAGGGGACCTAGTCCCAAAGTAAAACAGTCCAACAAGTGGAAAGATGTTGGAAAGAGGCTTTCCTAAATGTAAAGATGAAATGTGTAATGGAGTATTTATATGCAAAGAGAAAGAAAAGCCATGCTTTCTAATATTGACATTAATAAGCATATGATGGCTGGAAAATTCAACAAAATCTGTTCCAAATACGTTTTCCGAATATAATTAGTTTTTCTCTATAACCCAGTTTCTGCTTATTTGTTCCACCAATAGGATTTGTTTGTTCTAGAAATCTCAGATAAGTCTATGCAAAGCACTGTACACTGTACTCTTAAATCACTTTAAAATTGGCTTGTATTTCTGTTGAAAGATTTTGCCCAAAGACGGTCTGGTAAATCAGCGTGGACCAATATTGAGGTATAGCTCAGTATGCACCAGGTTTGGTACAAATGACAGGCACAAATTTAATTGACACTACCAGTTTTGCACTACTATAACTGAGCAAAAAGATAGGTTTTCTTAACTATCAGTTAAACTGCTTTTATCCTTCTACTAGTGCAGAGTTTGAGCTCATACGTAGCTGTTCCCCCTCCCAGCTATATTCTTACCAACGTACAATGAAAGTCAGAGCTAGACCCTGAAGGCCCACTCCTGAGCTGGTGGAAATGAATGAAAATCCGTCACAGTTTATAGAGGTTATATCAGGTGAAATTCTTGCTGCTGAGAATTCAAACGTGTAATTCTATACATAACTATATCCCCATAAAGAAGGATTTTGAATAGATCAAAGCAGAGTTTTTTTGTATAATAATAACACCACCATCACTAACGTACTCGGAAAAAAAGGAAGATCACAACAGAAATATACTTCTTGAACCTAAAATTTTTCAAGAAGCATAAACATATTATAAATTTCACATTTAAATGGTGTGATGCACCAAGCAATAGGCAGACATGGCATATGGATCCCAGCCTTTTGACACTCCTGAAAATTTCATTTTTGAACTGATGCTCGTCATCCAAACGACTTCCACAAAGTGTTGGCATTCTTCCTGTCTTGAGGCTTGGTATCTTGAGGCAAATGCCCCAATTGCCTAACCCTTACAGATCACTTGAAAATGCCCAAGTGCTCAAATTACATGAACACACCTGCCAGCCTTCTGTGAGCCCCCTGGAGCAAAGCTGGTGTTCATATTATTTTGGCCAGGCACATTCATTCGCATCTGCAGTCTCAGGGACCTGGGAAGACATGTTCTGGAAGACCTAGCTGCTACGGTTTGAAAAGCGCCCTTCCCCAGCTGCCTGCTCCACCACTCAGCCCCGCTCGCCGCTCCCAGGAGGGGGACGTGTGCCTCTCCCGACCCCTCTCCAGCTTCAGCCACGGGGGAAGCCGGGCTGAGAGCGGAGTGACAGGGACACTTCTTGCAGCCCAGGCTGGTGCCAGGTGACTGGCCCGGCTGGGGGCAGAGGGTGACCTGCCACAGCAAATTGGGCAGAGCTGGTCTGTTAGCACCACTGGTTTTCTCTGCGCTGAGCTCCCTGCTAACGTGAGAAGGGCTTACAGCTAACGTGGGCAAACTCAACGCTCAAAAGCACTTGGATATTTCCGAACGAGGAATAAAGGGGTCTTGGTGTACTGGCCTCAAGACTAGAGCATATATATAATCATATATTGCACATGCAGATGCAAATGTCCCTTTGACCTGGTACTAGAGCAAGATGGGAAGGCATCAGCATCTTCTTCCCCGCCACTGCTGGGTACCTTGATAAGGCCACCACTCACCTTGAGGTTTTTGTTGTGCCTCTGGAGCTCCCGGCACAGGCTCTCGAGCTTGCTGCGGGCGAGGATGGCTCGGCTGTGCTCACTCTGCAGCTGGTCCTTCTCCTTGGTGATCTGGGCCTGCCTCTTCTGCAGGTACTTGAGCTTTTTCTGCTCAGCACGATGTTCTTCAAGCTGGGCGGGGAACAGGGATTAAAACAAAATGAAGAGGAAAAGGAAAGAAAAGAAAATGAACTCTTTTGCATTTGGGACAGTGTTCACACTTTCTTAACCTCTTAGAAAATATTTTATATTTATCAGTGCTAATGGAAGAGGAGCAAGCGACCTGGAGGGAGTCCCAAGCCTCCTCGCTGCAACAGTCCCAAGTGTGCTGTAGTGTGGGTGAGTGAACATAATTCTTAATAGTCTTGTCACACCATTTCAGCCCTTTCTTCTTTGCTTTGAATTTCTTTGAAGGGCAGCTGTGAGGTTTTATTTTTGTTTCAACGTTAGGAACTGGAGCAGCCGGTAGCGCTTTATGCGGTGAGATTTCTCCAGATCATGAGATAACGCAACAGTTGCTCATTCTGTTTTGTGGCTTCCTAAAAAAGAAGTGGCTTCCTAGGTACCCAGGAACCTGCTGGAAAAAACAACAGCAAAAGAGGCGCTGGAGACCAGGGATGCCGTCTGTGTGTGGGCTTTGCTGTTGATGGAGGAGAATGCTTTTTAGGGAAGAATTCCCCAAAATGACGTGTGGGCACCTCCTCTTGTCAGGCTCCTCTTGCTCGTGGGCACATGTGGGACTGTCCGTCCGTTGTGTTTCTGGAGGTCCCGTCATCAACAGGGCTGGGCTGCAGGTAATCAAACCTCTTTTGGGCTCTTCGGATCCATGTAATTACTGAAGAAAATATGGTTTGCTTGGGAACCTGCTGTTCCTGTGGGTGCGTGGCTCCTGCCTTCCCTAGAGGGCTGGCGGGGAGGAGGGTGTATTTGGAGGGGGGATGAGGGACAGCAACAGAATTGCTAATAGCAGTCCCCACACAGACTGGTCATTTCTTCTGCCGTGTGCCTATTATTGTTTTGAAAAAACTTCCTGCACTGCAAATTAACACCCTAACAGACATGTCAGAGAAGCATTTCACCTCTGAAGCTTTTAAAGATTTCTTCTGCCGTTCCAACGCACAGCAGCCCTCCTCGCTGCATTGCAGGCGTGCATACATTGCGAGACATTTCTGAAGTCCAGATGTTTTCCGGTTGAAAAACAGCAGCAGATGAGCTGCAATGTGCAAACCTTAATAACAATAGTTGCTATTAAGATTACATTATCTAATAATATGGTACCACTAGTATTAATTATTAACCCCAGCATGACTGGGAAAGTTTGTGAGTGCGGGGGAATGATGTGCAGCTCACACAAGACAGTCAACTGGCGTCATATTTTACACTTTCTCTGCCTGAGGATGTGTTTTCTGCAGATGTTCTGTAATTTATGCTTACAGTACAGAGCTCTGTGTATTATCAATTGAGTCACAGCTAGGCATGCCACAAAACAATGCAATCACCAGCTTGAAGTGTATTTACAGTTTATGCTCAACTTTCCGCATGTGTATGGTGTGTTTTTACCCCAGTAGATCAGAATAGGGGCTTTTGCATCTAATCAAGCTGCACTAGCTGAAATAATTTTTCTAGCAT